ATCTTTGTCTTTAACTGGGGAACCTGCAGGTTTGCTCTGAAGTTTTCAAGAACAGTCCCTGGTCATAAAGCAGCTTTGGAGTTAGGTAGGTTCTCTGTCTGTGTTATTGCTGCAGCTCTCTCTCACCTTGTACATCTGAGCAGAGAAAACACAGAGAAATCCTGAGGCCACACACACTCAGGAGTAACAAACCACATCCTCAGTTGTCAGACAGTGCTGGATCCACGTCTGTGTCATTTTTGCCTCATCTTTCTCAAATGTCTCCAGCCTCACCAGAGCAGAGGTCTGCTGTTTTTCACCGTTAGGAAGATTTTACTGTGTTTTTGCCTGCTTTGTTGGACTCTACAATGAATAAACAATAAACTGAATGCAAGTTATGCTATTTGTTTAACATATGCTAAGGAGATGCCTATTTTAAGTTGTTCTATATTGTAAAGTAGCTGTTTTGGAGTAGTTGTCAAACTATAAGGCAGTTTTATTTCATAAAGCCACATTATTCACCTCCACTTTTAAAGGCTTCATAAAATGTTTGATTACTTCTCACAGACAAATACCTCCAAATGAGGATTGGTAAAGGATATTATGTCTGAGACTGACTCATTCCTCACATCTTATTATCCTTTTTCACTGCATCAGTTGGAAATTAATACAGCATTTATTTTCTCATCTCTTGGTGATACTGTTATCAAAATAAATTATGCATGTGTTTTTCATTTAGCCACTACATAACCATGCCATTCCTCCAGACTGCAACCACAAAGCAGAGGCAGACACTCAGTTACATTCTCAACGATCACATAAGTCTTAGCATAGGAGAATAATGCTGATAATGGAGGGGTCTATTCATTACATACATCCATGTTTTTATCCAGTCCTGTGAAAGGACAATAATCAGGTGGAATTAAGCCTTTTTAGTTTGTATTGACATTTTTTATGAGTCTATATCTAAATCTGCTTTCAGCAGAAAATTAAAACTATACTTTTCAGGTAATCACACTCAGATTTCTAAATTTCCTGGAATTACAGTTGAAGCCGGAATAAGAAACCACACAAGGACTGACATGATATGTTAGAATGTCTTTAATATCATCATACATCCAATTCTTATTTTCAGCATTGTGAGATGGTCCTGAGATAGATCTATGCACTGATCCCCTGATCCTTAGGTATCTCAAAGTTATGCATTTATTTTAAAGATTTTTAATGTCATTGCTCATTTCCTAACATGTTGGAAGTTTCAAATCTTAAAATCTTGTCTGTCAGATGTTTAATGCACAGGGAAAATATAAAATATTTAAAGATTAATATCACTTCAGTGCTTGAGAGTAAAAGTAGTTTTTATTCAAGGGCATTTTAATAGTTTCTTTTCTATGCCATAAAAGAGGTTTTTGATATTTCATCTTATTTAAACTCTTCTTTATTACAAATCTGTCACCATGTTTTCTCAGCCACAAGTTTCACTTGCATAGCAATGTACAAAAGTAATCTGATTTCTCTTCCTGAAAGTGCTTATGTCACATGCTTATCACTCCTATGGGGCACACTTCTTCTCAAATATCTTTAATGAATAGAAAAAAAGTTAAGCACAAGTTTGTCTGTAAGTATGAACACAGATCCTGGTGAGCCAAACCTCAAGGCTGTGGGAGAATTTCAGCTCATTATTAATTTTCTCTGGTATTTTAGAAAGGTAATACCTACTTTTTGCCTTGTATACCAATAACAAAGAAACTTCAAGCAATTAAAATAGAAAATTTTAATTGTTTACGTAGTCACAACCGTAGGCAAGCCTTTCTGTTTTCTGAATATTCAGCCAATAAAACAATATTTATTTACAGTCTGCAATTTTACTCAGTAGTATAGTTCAATACTATTGCAATTACATATTATTAAGACCATGTTAAACTTTATCAACCAAATTAATTGAATCAAGCTACTAAGAAAAACACTGAGAATATAAAATAGCTTCTTTGCTATATCATTATTAAATTAATTCTCAGGAAAAACAAAACAAAAAAAACCCCACCCTGCTTGTTCTGATACTGTCTAGCTGTTTAAATGCACATGTGAATCCCAGACTAGCATCATTAATTTATTAATGCTTGTCTTTGATCAGTTTTCTCTTCTTTCCTATTCAAGTCAGTATCTTAAAGGACTTTCATCACTGTTTTTCAAAACATTATAGATAAAAGTAGAGTGTTATCTGAGGATTTACTGTCTAATAACAGGAAATTTGCTGGTTTGCACTTCCTTTTGTTTCTCTGTTTAACCTGGTTAGTTTCAGATATGATGAATAAAAGGCATATCCAATTAGATATTTTTATATTCAAATGTTGGTTAAAATAATGTATTTGTTTATCTGCTGATAACAAAATGAGGTAACAAAATTAGATTTTTTTTTCCCCTGGGATGTACCTTTGAATGAATGTAAATTGAAAGAATGTAATTCTTTAAGACATAAGTGCAAATTATTGTTAGAGTATACGATCAGTGATAGAAGATCAGTTTAACAAAACACGTCTGAAAGTTACCACTGAAGAGACATCCTTAAATAGCATCTACTGGAAAGCTAGGGGGTTTTATTGTAGCCTTAATTTTATTTAAGGAATGTGCAATATTCCCGTACCACATAAGAAAGCTGTCACTCTGATAAGATACATTCCAAATAGAAAACCAGTTGACAGGGAATTCTCAATAGGACTCTGTGGAGGAATATTCTTGAATATATAAACAAGATGGAGGGAAAAGAATATAAATTAGATTTTTAACCCTGAATAAAGGGTTTTCTAATGAATCCAGCTTTAAATCACAACAGTTGCAAGAAATTTTGGTGGTTTTTTTTATTTTTTACAAATAGTATCAGAAAGTTCTCCTATATGATGTATAAGTATCACCTTAACAAAAAGGGGGATTGGGTACTAAAGGGCTATAGAGGAGATGCAAAGCCATTTTAGTGCTGAGAAGCTGAGGACAAAGTTCAGAATACAAATTAAGGCACATCCATTTGTGGTGACAGTGACTCGTCACTGCAGCAGCTGACCATTCAGTGCGTTGACTCTATATCTCTCAAAGCCTTCAGATGAAAACTGGATATTCCCATGGAAGTTATCTCTTAGCTAAACCCAGACATTTAAATCTGTCGGCAGTGAGGCTGGCTAACAAGTTTTAATTAAGCTGAGGAGGAACATTTTTTGGATGAAATTTAGTAGCCTATATATAGAAGATGCTACAAGAGGATTAACTAACCAGGTGGGCTCCTGTAAATCCAGCAGGTGTATATTAGGAGGTAAAATACATTGCCCTCTTTCCCATTGTATAGTTTTTGGCAGCTAATGTTCCCATGTCCTGGGCTGCAGGATGATAATTAGACATTCAGCATCATTTCAGCTAAGAGAAATAATGTTTTCTCTGAATCATTCCTGTAGCACATTTGACTTCTCTAATTGGATCAACACTAGATAAATTAAAGTCATCATGTGGTGTTTAAGGTGTAAATGTAACACTGAGGAAAAGCATCAGAAACTAGGTGTCTATTGCAAACTTTGTTGTGTTACATCATAGGCACTGCTCCCAACCTTAGAGGATTCTAGCTTTTTTTTTTTTTTTTTTTTTTTTTGAGATGGGTTTTTTTTTTTAGAAAATTGCTTTATGAAAACAATCCTATTCCTAGTCATCTGAAGAAAGTTCTCAGAATGGAAAAAATTATCCCAGTGGAATTAAATCTGAAACTATTTTAGAAGTTTATATGTTGCAATGTCTAAGATGTCTGACATAGGGAAATAGTTACAGTGAACGAAACCACAAGAACCTCTCCTTAAAAACAAGATTAAAGACATGTTTTTAGCAGAGTTTGAATTTACTTTTCAGGTACTTTCTGAAAGCTGTGTTATCAGTAGTTTTGGGTAAGGTTTTAAAATCTCTGCATTAGCAATCCCAAGAAAATGATGCAATTTGCTATATTAATTATGACAATTTAATTCACTCACTTTGCTGATAAGTAGGGATTTTTTATCTTTATATTAGCCCAGCATTCACCAAACCCTAACTGATTGAGGAAGGGAATACTAATTTAATAATCAAGGATGAAAATGTCATTTGCTCAGTTTTACTCTCTAAATTCTTCAAAATGCTGTTTTATGGAGGAAAGCAAAAACATAGGGGGGAAAAGTATTGAAATATTAAAGATTAACTAGAAATTAAAAGTGCATCTGAAAAAAAATTATATTATATCTTAATTAAAAAGTAGAAAATGTGGATTTTCATAGCATTATCTACTACTGCAATTCATGTTGGAAGCTATCCTCTGTACAAGTGGGAATACAAGGGGGCGAGGCACAGGTTACAAAGGTAACTTCTTTCAGTTTTACATGCAAAAATGCTATCCTTAGGTCTGGAAGTCATGCAAGCTATCCTGTATATCACTACTGTATACAGAACCTCACGCATTTAGAAACAAATGCTGTTGCAAAATGAATGTAAAGTGCTTCACATCAGCCTTTTGTATTTCTTTCATTATCAATAACAGTAATAAAATAGGTCAATCCCTGTACATGATTCCTAACTACATATTAATATAAATCTGGTAGATACTTGCTGAATAGGCTTCCAAAAAGCTATAAAAGACTTTTCTTAGCCACAGGTTTTTCAATTTTTCAAAATTCTAAAATTTCGTACATGCTTTTAGAAATGTTTTTAGAAATTCTAAAATTTCATACATGCTTGATTTAACCTCCAATTTTAACTTTTTTTTTTTAACTTATTAATAAATCAACTTAAGCCCCACAATTAAAAAAGCAAACACTCTTTGCTTTTACATAAACAGTTGCGGATTGGAAATCCTGAACTTAAGGTAGTCAGTACCACATGAATGTTAAAATAATAAGGTATGTGATTCTGAGTTCATTACCCACTGACTTTCATCAACTATTCTCCAGCAGACTAATAGTAGATAATCAGACCATTACAGCATTCCAAGACACTTGTAAATAAACTCTTGACAGAAGTTTCAAGAAAATATATTTATTCAGTTTTGGCAGAGGAAGAGAAAACATAATAAATATGACAAATTTTACACCCTTCTTTATAAGTTATTTTTATATCACATTTCTACTAAAAAATTCAGGTAGTATTTAAAATTTTAAAATAAGACACTCACTGAAGAAAGAACTTTTAACATGAAAAAAATACATTAGAGTGCAAATGTTTTATCTTATTGTGTCTAGTACTTAATTTTCAAGTCCTTTAGAACAGTGCAAGTTACGTTTTAGTTCAGTAACACTGTGAGTATCCAATTAATATGTAGAACTAATACACAGAATTCTGTTACGTGAATAATACAGGTGGTATTTTTTCATTATATAACATCAATTCTCCTCTCAACACTGAAAAAGACCTTTCCAAATTCCTGTAATTATGACACTTTTTACAAGCTTTTTACTAATCCCACATTCAAGTCCCCAGCTGCAGTAAAATGAATCTAAGTGGAACCTCTTCAAAACAAGACATCCACCAAGCACGTCCAGTTCCTGTTCTAACATGTTTATACAGCTCCGTGGAGTGCAACTGATACTTTCTCAGCAGAAGCACACACAAGTCCATTGGGATGTTTATTTTCAGGAACAGGAACTGGAGCAGCAATCCCTGAGATTCTCTAGGATGCCTGTAGGTGTGTTTTGACATCCCTTATGTTTTGCTAATTTTCTATGAGCTGTCTACTCAAACCAGTTTTCTTTCAATAAAAATCGTACAGCATCGTCAAAGCCATTTTGGTACAACGATTCCATTTTCTCCTGGTCTGGTGGGAACAAAGCTTGATTAAGCCTTACTAGGTTGGCCAGAGACAGCTGCAACAGAGCAAGAAGCTGTAAATTAGTTTATTAATGCAACTCATCTAGATGTGATTGTTCTGTCATCTGTTTCATGGAGCATATGTAAAGCAAAAAGACTGGCATGGCTGTGTCTCCATCAGGAATTAACCACGTCCAGGGTCACTGCTGAGTGCCAGGACAAACTGGCACCAACAGTCCACACGCACGGAGTTAAACTCACAGCATCCAAGGCAGGCTGTCTGCCTGTAAAACTGTCCAAAGTTTCTGAAACACTTTAGCTTTGGAAATACTCCCAAAACTGTCTCGCAGAGTGGTAGCTGGCACATGTTAAACTTGTGCAAGGAAATATTTTGACAACTTACTAGTGCAAACAACCACATTCTTGGGAACATTCCCAGGAAATGTTTAACATATGAGTATAAATGTAGCTTCTACTACCAACAAATTAAAAACTACTCAGCATCTTAAGTGGTCACTCTGATCATGTAAAAGGATTTTTTAGCTTTATTCTTGAATAGAAATTTTATTAAATTGCTTACAACAAACTAAAAACATAATTATATTTAATAATGTCCTGAACAATTTCTTTTAATTAATACTGAGCCACATTATAATAAACAATTTTACAAAACACGATCAGAATCATCTTCATTATTTGAAGTAAGCAATTATTCTAATTCTGACACTAGGAGATGGAGAGACAGAAAACTATTCAGATTCGCATATAGATAAATGAAGATGTACAACTCTTCAATTTATGTTCAATTTATGCAGATTAAAATATTGCCGAAATAAAATTATTCTTAGTCATCATTTTTACAGCCAGCCCTAAAAGCAGAGGTGCTTCAATCTTAATAGTTTTAAATGTTGCCTGGGATTCTGCACAAGTCTTCACATGACCCCAAAAGTAATGTAATTGTTCAATTAATTTTCTGTCTCTAAACTAAAGTAATCACCAGCTCATTTTTCATCCTCTAGATACAAAACACAACCAAGAAATACACAATGATTACATATATTTCCAAGATACATGAAATCAATAATTTCATACTTTATGAACTTTACCAAGTACTACCATGCTTAATATCGCTCTGTGAAATATTATAAAGATTCAAAAACTGGCCCAATTGAGAAAGGCATTACATAACAGTAATTTTAGTAAATTTACGGAAACATTAAAAACTGCCTAGAAAGAAAGTTCTAAACTAATTATTATTGTTAATCTTTCTTTCTAATGGAATATTGTGGACCACTAGGTCTATCATTATTCAATATTTTCTTTCAGCATGTTGAAGAAAGCTAAACTGTTGTTAAAGTTTATGAGACAATGGTTGAAAAGACAGAAATGGAAATGATGAAAAGGAGGCAATAAAAATCAGTCTCATATTTCAAGATACCAAAATGTTTCTGCAACTTATAACAAAGCCTCTGGAAAAGCGCTGTAGTCACAAATGTTCACAAGTTCTCTTGTGTAATCCAGTGACAAGTATATACCATTTTAAATATACAAGTTAAACTTGTATTTTAAATTCAGTTAGAACAATTGATTTCAGTAAGTATGAGGAAATGCTCTGCAGCTGTCCTCTCTGAGGTTATCCACTTTATTTTTTTCTATAAACTTCTTGCATAGTCAAAGATACCTGATGCTTAAAGTGAACCTAGTATTATTTACACTGACCAGCCTGATATAATTTTCCCAATTTTGTACTCGATCAGTGCTTTTCAAGCTTTCTTCTTTCTTCTACATTCTCCTTTCCCTGTGTTTAAGAAATGGTTTAACCTCCATTTGAAAAACAGAAAATGCCAAAAGCTGATATATGAGCACAAAATAGACACTTAAATATGAACATAACTGCAGAAGTACTTTTTAGTGTTTTTAAGTTAATAAACAAGCAACTTACCATCATATCTTGCTTTGCTAATTTAATATACAGGTCCACACGCCCTTTATCTTGTGGACAGATATCTAATCGACCACTGAAAGGGGAAATTGTCACCGTTCTTCCAACAGGCAAGATAGGAAGGCCATTGGTAAGCCCACCATCAACCCACTTCTACAGGAAAACAGAAATATTTTCAAAGTAACACCAGTACAGTATGATCACAATGCAATACTTTACCCTTATTGACCCTGCCTCCTTCACTCTCAAGAAAACTTACAAGTTTCCCGCTAAGAATACAATGAAAAACTTCAGTATGTGTCAAATATCAAAGAACTGCCAATGTAAACACAGAGATTTGAATCAATGAGCATTTAACATAATGTACAAATTTGCATTTAAAAATAGTGCTTATAAGACGTTTTAATTAATTAAAAAATCAAATGCTGCATATGTAATTTTTCTCAATGCATACATGTAAAGACAAGACTGTTAATGCTAATGTATCAGATATTCACTAGATAATGTATGCTCCTCTAGAACATTATTCTGATTGACAATAGGAGCTCTACAGTCTGTATGTGCAGGTATTCTGACTGCAGAAGCTAAATCACAAATGATTCCTCTCCTGTTATTTTTCTTCCAGAGCCTCATTTCTTCTTACACTACACAAGACAGCAGTAGCTGAAAAGTAGAAGGTAAAGGTGGGAAGGAGCTGAACACCTATGACATAAGAGGGAGCAGACCTAAACCTGCTGCAGGACTTGAGCATAGTGAAGAATGAGATCTAGGTGCCAAATTCCATTCCAATACAAACAGGACAACTGTGATATTTCTTGCTAATGTATTTATACTTTCCCATTTCTTTCTGTGTTACAGGCATAGCCTAAAATTCAACACAGGTCTGCTGGCTAAATGGATTCACTAACAACATACATGAGGTCTGTTGACCAGATGCATCACACTGATCAGCTGATATGTATTGCTGTATCTATAATTCTAAAGCTGACAAGCTTTCTGATATAATAACTACCTAGCCAGCACCAAATACATAAGATTTTGTGTGGCTTTTTGGCAGGGGGTCTGTGAAAGTTATAAAGGTTCTAGAGGCATCATCTGCATGACTGGGGAACGGAAGTATCATGTATTTCTCATAAGGAAGAAATGGCCATTTTTATGCTTTTAAAATTATTCTTAAAGTGTTAATATATTTATGTAAGACAAAAAAGTTGTAGGAGGTAGATTGAGTAAAGGTAATTGTAAAAAGGTTTTCTTATAAGAAATACAAAATATAGAACTGAAGTTGCTTTTCCTTAAGATGAAATAGTTACACCATAAATGAAAAACATACAAAAAGAAAGTTCGTTGTTAATGAAAAATTACCTGTCCTTTAAATTCCACTGGCTTAATTCCTGCATACACTGGTATAAAACTACTTGCTAGCAGGACCTAGAGAGAGGAAAGCAGAAAGAATAGAGAAAAACAATCAAAAAAGGCAACAAAGTAATTTAGAACCAATACATATTTCCATACATATCTACCAGTCATATTACCAGTACTAGTTTTACATAAATCCACTGTCATCTCAAAATGTCTTCTTGGTTTGCTATGTCAAAATGTGGTTAAAATTATTCAAAAGGGTTTGGTTATTTATGACTTGACAGTGACAACACTCAAAACAAAATATCAAAAATTAACTCAATGATTAACATGATTCAAGAGTATGAACTTAGTTTTGCACATTGTGAAGTAAATCTATGGTTTCCAAGAAATTAAATATGCCTATGATGAAAAAAAGCAATTTATTGTCCAAGAAGAAGCTGACCAATGAAAAAAAGCAATTTATTGTCCAAGAAGAAGCTGACCAAGTCACTCTGTTAGCATATTAATATAGTGTTTACTTTTCTAATAATCAGATTTTCAAAGTTTCAAAAATACCATGAACATCCTGAAAATTCACATATACATACCTTTACCAATGTTTGTATTTGTACATTCAAGTATTAACAAACTACTATTTCCCCTACTATAAGGCTTCATTGCTTGTCTATAGCCATTCTTTATTTTTATTTTAATTTTTTTTAGACCAGGACACATCTGTCATGTACAACTGTTCACACACATATACCTTTCTATCCATTCATAGCAACACCTGTGAGAGACACAGTGTGGGTATCTCTATACCCGTGTATCCATGCTTATACATATATAAGCAACCAGCATACAGCATTTCCAGGAGAAAAGCTAAATGCATACACAAAGTGCAGTATGTCAGAATTTTTCATACAGCTGAATAGGGTGGATATGCACACGCTTGTGTGGTGCATGGACAACCAATCTGGGGAACAGAAGCAGGTCACAAACTGCTGCATACACTGTGTGAAAGATGAACAGGTGCAGAAAAAAATCATAATTCATAGGGACTATGAAAACAGAGAAAAATGACTGAGTGTTTTTTGCTGGAATTACATTTACTTTAAAAAAAAACTTAAGCTATTTTAGTATTAAGCCCTTCTGTTTCCCCAACAAGTTTTAATGAAGACTGTATATGAAGTCTTCAACTTCCACTTTGAGAACTGTTTTCCTGCTTATTTCTCTTCCTAGTGATGTAGAGGTTTGTCTGAGCTCAGATAAAAAGGCTCTTTGTTTTCTAAAGTGAAACTGCAGCTATTTCTCTACCAAACAGACCTTTCACTCACAAAAGTCTAAAATAAGATTCCCAAGTTCCCAACATCAACTTCTTCTTCAGCCCTGCACCTTTTCTGCTCTCTTCCTCAACTCCATCTCATTGACTTTGGTCCTTATAAACTAAGAGAAATGAAGAAAAAAGATTTAGTGAATGGAATCAAACCCAGATGACTCCTGCAAAGTTTGAGTTCTTTTCAAGAGGACTGAAGAAAGCAGTTGCTCTTATAAAATCACTGAGATCTCCTGAGTGAGGAGAGGCAGGACAAGTTTGATGAACAAACACTTTCAATATTTCCTACCACTAACAGACCAGTTTGAACTTCTAGGCACTAGCTTACTTTCCCAAATTAAATATAGCAGTGTTCTGTGTCTTGCTCCCTCACAAACATACAAATCGTGTCTCTCTCTTCCCTCACCTCCAGTCTGAGAACTTCAGGTCTACAAATGCTGACACAAGATGATTGTCTTCACACATGGCAAGACTAGTTGAAAAAGGGGAGATTATTACCTGCCTTTCCAAGTCCACAGGGAATAGCAAAAAAGATAAAAGCTTAACATTGTAGCAACACACATCCAGTTCAGCCATTATGATGAACTTTGGAACTGTAAGGCTTGGTTGTTAAGCACTGAAGTTGAAAGATTTCTGGCATGGGGTACAGACATTATGCTGTTCATAAAATAATCTGCCCAGCAGAACCTTTATCCATACCTTGGATGTAGGTCATGCCTAGGCATGATACAATAACATAACAAGCTCTACCCTCCCTGCTCCTGTGGCAGCCACCAGCACTCACAGAGCTGTACTCATCATACAGGTAGAGCTGAAGGCATGCACAAAAACAGCTATTAGGAGCACAACTGAAAGATCAGACAATATGAATATATCCCAGTGAGAAGTTATGTGTAATTTTATTACTATTATTCCAAACCAATTGACTGCTACCATAGAGAACAAAAGAACAGAACAGCAATGGCTAATCAATTCAAAAACTATTGAAATACTAGTAAAATGTACATATTTCCAAGGTCATCCTGATGCTTCTCACTGTCTCCAGGTTAGAAGAGTTCACTGCAAAAACACATAAATAAAAATCTCCACGCTTGCTACCACTGCATACTACAGATAGAAATAACAGTGCATAACTTTAGATAAATTCTTCACATAGTTATATTTGCATGACAAAGTCCTGTAAAATTTGAGGACTGTCCATGTAGAATATAATAGGGTCAAAATTTTTGAAAATGTACTTTAAAGACAAACTCCCAATACACACTTTGATGTTTTCTTAACAAGTGTCATTTTTTAAAGTGGTAACTATAAAGAATTTGCTCTAAGTATCCACAAGGATAGAGAAAGAAGGAGTTCCTTCTTACACTATTTCCTCCTTTATTCTGATATATCTTAAAATGTCTTCCACTAAGATACAATCTATTACTAGAAAGAACACCTGCTTCACATGCATCTGAATTGCTCCTACCATCTCTTATCAGCTTATGCATACAATCCTGATCCAAATTTAAAATGTGGCATTCAGATGAAGAGAAGGACAGTGAAAGATATACTTTTCCAGCTACAGTTAAAATGCAGCTTATATACAGTATTTAGCATTACACTGTAACTAGTATCCACAAGCACTCATAGGAATTGTTCAATTTTTTTTTTTAAACTTCATTTACTTTATTTTGTGATGCAAAAATGATATCAGTGAAGTAAGAGATGCAAACATTTTTACAACATTTTGAGATTCTCTACTGTGTTCTCTTATACTGCAACAATTAGTTTGCCTACAAGGTAGAACTTGAATAACCAGTGAAGGAAACGCACACAAATGCCTCATAAATTTTAGCAAAATTTGTGAAGCTATAGGATCAAATTTTGCTTTAAACTTTGTTTATATTACAGCTATAGCACCACTGGGAGTAGACATGGTTACCTGAATAAACCAGTGATTTTACTGTACAATTAATAATATACTCTTAAGCCTTGAAGGAACCCCAGAGTTTTTATTTACAACTGACATATTCAACATGATTACCTTAATGAGGTCCTCCCTGGAGGCAAAATTTGAAACCAAGTGATTTTCCCCACTCTTGGAGTTAGTGACTGACACATAGAGCCGGTTCTCAGCTATCTCATGAACATCAGAAGGAAGAATAGACTCTATGCCCTCCCTAGAGGAAAGAAAATGCTCAGCATTACTCACCACTATTATTTAAAAACCTTGCAAATGCATTAGGGGTGAGCACCCCATAGCACAGCAAAAATATGCACCCTCTCCATTTGCATTTGGAGAGCTTTCTAATGCAAAAATGATCTTACAGAAGCATTAAGATAGGTACCTAAGTGTTTTCATAAAATCATAACCAGGTGTTACAGCACCAAAGTTCAATCTTCTGACTTCCTCTGCAAATCCATACGCAAAGTGCTTACATTTCTGGAAATGAAAAGCATTAACCATTAAGGATGTTTAAGTGATGAGAAGCATGCTCAACTGCAGTACCTAAAATATATTAAAGGCTAAAACTTTAATAAAAGATTTATTAGATCAAACTGAAGGATTTTCCCATATGTGCTTGGTTTGTAACAAGACATGCATAACAAAATGTTGATACTTTCCTAAGGATTAATTTGTAAGAAAAAAAAAAAATCCCTAATGAGAAAAAAAAAACAAACTCTTAGGATACCACTCCAACAACCAAGCAAAGTTAAAGGTTATTTATTTTTCTATATACTATCACTGCTAAATAATCAGTTCCCCAGATCATGAAATTACAAGAACAATCATTAAGTTCAAAATCTAAAGCCACCTCTTATTTTAAGGTCTACTTCAGAACTTAAACCAGACACAAGTACCTTAAGATGCTTATAAGCAGTAAGAAAAATAAAAATTACAACAATTTCTTCTCACTAAAGCAAAAAAAACAAGCTACTAGCAAACACAAATAATTAATAAAATTATATGGAAATATTTAATTAATGGAAAACTCTGATGGGTGACATAGGAAGAAAATACACATCAGAAAAGCAGGTAACAGATTCCTGCACAGAGAATCTTTTACACAAGCTGAAATGCCCAGCATTAATGACTGCAAAAAAATAGCTTGAAGTGTGAGTCACAAGAACTCCAAAGGGACAGTAAAGGAATTGGTATAATTTATTTTTCAGCCATAATATTCTGAAACAATAAATTATGATCCGAAGTCCTTAAGACTCGCTATTCAATATTTGTAATCCCTTTTCTTCCTTTCATACAGGCTTTTCTAATGATTTTAGGGACTTCAGAAAAAAGCTAAATTCAATCTTATGCAACCTTCTGAAGTTGGTACTTTATAAATTCACCCACATTCACCCACATAACCTGAATAAAAGATAGTTTGGGTTTCCTGGATTATTAGGTCTGTGCATAAAGAACAAATAGGTTGCTAGTAACAGAATCAGTGACTGAGTGACTGAGTAAAGGAAAGAAAAAAAAAATGAGAGACATGAATGTATCCCACTGATGTGGAGAACAGAATCCATTGAAAGGAAATTAAGGAAGGAGGTAGGGTGAAGATTAACATATCAGAGCCAGCTAACTGAAGGAGTAAAACTTCCTCACATCACACATATGACAAAACACTCATCTAAGCAAAAGACAGAAATGTAGTTCTTGCACCCAACTTTATATGACCTTTGAATAAATGTATCAAAAAGTTCACTAAAAGATTCATACCTCTTAAAGAAATAATTATTTGTGCTACTTAGTTTCACATTGGTTAGATTTGCACCTTTACCCCACGAGATACCTGACACTGCCAGCTCGAAGCAAATTAAAATACATAAGGCACATTCAGACACTTCTATAAATGCAGAAGAAATCCACAAAACCCTACATAGAAGCACCTAAGGACGACTTTCTCTGTATGTAGATGATTAAAGTTATGTGGAACTAAGAGTACCAAGCTAGGGAAATGACAGAAAACTACTTTCCATATTACAAATACTAAGAATGGACTGTACCTAGACTCTCAATTTCTGTCCTCAAAAGGGACTTCTTACAGCTATGAATTGTTTTAGGATCTGAGTGCTAGAAGCTTTAAACAATACATCTACATTTTAAATAATGACTGAGGCCATGTTTAGAAATTGTAACTGCTTCTGTTGAGTTAAGCAAACTTGATATCAAACATGACCAAGGTAATTTTAAAATAAATAGTTATTTACCTATAACTAAATAAGCCTACTTAGAATTCTCAAGTCCCACACCTTTACAAACAGTGACAAAAATCCAATATATGACAGAAAAACATTTGGAAACTGTCTTAGAACAGCAACAGTCAAAACAATAAATCTTCAATGTTACTTTCTCTCCAAGATAAAGACAGGTTGCATTACAGCTTTGAGAGTAGGAGATGCAGAAAATCCTAATTATGGCCTACCTAATATTGCCATCTCTGGGGGAAGGGGCGTGGGGTAGGGGGGAGAAGAAGAAAAAAAAAATTGACTGATTAGGAGATACATTTGTGGATATAAAATATTTCAAACTAGAAACATAGTAAATATAATAATATAATTATCCTGATATGAAAAGTTAATTCTATTCAGTACAGAACACTGCCTTTACTTAAATTCCATGAGAATTAGAATTATTCCCACTGACAAAAGAACTCCCAAGTTTCGATTTAAACACTGTAACAGAATAACTAAAAAGTACACAAAAAATGAAAGGACTAGAAAGATTGTGAAGCTTTCATTAGCTTGTAATAATATGACAAATAGAACAGACTCAATGTAATATAGACCTAGCTTCCACAAACAAAAACTAAAAACTGTTCTAATAGTTTTACTTAGAAAGATCTTTGTAAGGTGGACCAAGCTGAGAACAAGGGCTCATACCCAGGGTCTGCAATAAGCAGAAAAATTTCCCTGGGCTAACAAAGGGCTGCCATGCTCACCACAGAGGAAATTAAAGTCAGAGGTACACATTATACCAGGCAAACGTGAAACTGAACTACCAGTCAGAGGTGACAGAAGGAGAGTAATGCCTGCACAGAATACAATGAGGTTCTCTCCACAACAGAGTGGAACTTGCTTAATACCAAGTCATATAAAGAATGCTTGCACGGGAGTGGGATGGGAGAAAGAAGCCAGGGAGAAACCAACTGCTGAAAGCAACAGAAGCATAGTTAATGCTGCAAGCTGAGCTCATATCTCAGAAGAAACAAACAAACAGAAAAATCAGTGGCAAAGTGGGATTTGGCTGGGACTATTTAAATTTCATTAAATGAAATTAAATGAGCAAGGCCTAGAGGAATTATCAAATGCCCACTTGGAACAAAACCTAAGTGTAACTTAGATGAAAAATCTAACAGCCACAATATTATCCACAATAATTTTCCCACAATAATTAAAAATAGTAAAGAAATACTAACATTTTTGGCAGTGCCTGGTACTCTACATTTATTAAGGTGAAGTCACTACAGACATTTCAGAAGGGCAAAGCAGCCTTAACCTATGGGGAAAACCAAGCAAACAGACACAAAAAAAAAAAAATCCCCTAATGCTCTCCAAGCAAATAGACACCAAAAAACCCCCTAATGCTCTCCATGGAATCTGTAACATTTTAATCACTGAACAGAACCTTGGTGTCTTTGCAAGACACTATATGCATTGCGAGAAGGGAGTGACATCTTTGGAGATGAAACAACCCAGACATATCTCAGAACAGAATGCTGTAAGGGTTAATCCTACTGGCTGCTCTTAAGGCATGGGCTGCACTGAGTCTAAAGGAGATGCAAAAGCTTTTAATGCTGCTGAGTGGAGCAGAGGCAGAAAGAAAAGATCTGAGCAGGTGGGAGCTGTTTATGAAGACACACTCCATCTACCATTTTCACCTCCTTTCAGAAAAGGTTAGAAGGGTAGTGCTATGCACTTGCTTAACAAAGCCTATCTCTAACCAACAGAACAATGATTCACTTAGCAATGTACCATCATTTAGTACGCATTTTGGTATATTAAAGTACACCTATTGTCTACAAATTAAGATTCACACACATGAGATTTTTATTTACAAATCTTAAAATATAAGGTTCATATGAAATATTTTTATCATTAACATTTTTGCTCATGAGTTACAGATATGGTTAATGAAAACATGATACAAGAGTCCTGTTGCTAGCAAGTAACAAGAAAAAAAAAAAAAAAAAAAAAAAAAAAAAAAAAAAAAAAAAAAAAAAAAAAAAAAAAAAAAAAACAAGACACAAAACAGTTTAATAAACTCAATGGAAGATGATTATATTAAAAAATGTCCCTTGAAAATTATCATAGCCTATACCTACGAGTTTTTGAAATTACCTCTATATTTTCTGGCACTGCTAACAAGACAGCGGCAGCCAGAGATCCCGCAGAAGCTCCCGCAAAAGCTTTCACATCTCTCAGTAACTTCTTACCATGCTTGTGAAAAGCAGCTGCTGCCCCCAAGTGGTAAATGCCCAGAAAGCCACAAGCTGCAAAGGACAGGTTGATGTGTCTCATTTGGGCTGTGGAAATAGCATGTCTCAGTCAGTCTTTTGCAATTTGTCTTACAGTACACATTTATCTTTTTTTGCATAACACACTCTAACTATATAAGAAATGCAAGTTATTTGAGAACAGTAAAAACTTTTGATTACTAAATACATCAAACAATCAGCAGCTAGTTTAGTATCTCCAAAACTGAAAACAACTCTAAAATAATCCTTAGTATAAATTCCTTTTTAAATAAATCAAAAAATATATATTTTATATATAACATAACTAAATATTTTTATCTGATTTGTCAAAGAGTAGCTACACAAAAGTGATGAAAGAATACTTTGGAAAAACATTGTTAGCCACCTTTATCAAAAAATCAAATTGATTATAAAACTGCTGGTTAGTGTCTCATCATGTAGTGACAGGACTAGGAAAATGGATTCAAACTGAGAGAAAGTTAAGATTGGATATTAGGAATGAATTCTTTACTCTGAGGGTGGTGAGGCACTGGAACAGGCTGCCCAGAGATGCTGTGGATCTCTGGCAGTGTTCAGGGCCAGGCTGGATGGAGCTCTGAGCAGCCTGGAATTGTAGGAGGTGTGCCTGCCCATGGCAGGGGAGCTGGAACGAGATGATCTTTACGGTTCCTCACAGCCCAGGGCATTCTGTGGTCCTCTGATCATACTCCCCCTTACACAAGCAGAGCCTTGAATCCATTATAATTCTCTAAGAGAGGACTTTTTTCTGTCATCTTTGAAACTTGTTTGCTTACTAGAATTATTAATAGACAAATTTTTAAAGTAATTTCTAGTTAATTACTAAGAAAAATGAAATGCATATTTTTGCTACTATTAAAATAACAAGGAATAATAAAAAAAAACAAAATGTAGGAAAACACACACACACACTCCAAAGGTGTCTAGGGTAGAAATTTAAAATTAACAAAAAACTCCACAAATGGAAAGCATAAATTCAGATTATTAGAGGTAGTTAATTAAATACCCAAAACAGAATACTGTGCAATTTATTAGCTTTTCTGTTTCTGCAAGTAACTTCATCATGAAAGCAAGTTATTCTGCAGATTGTATTTTACAGATGTAAGAGATATTGTACACATAATCTTAGTATTGAATTAAAAATAACCCCCTACTGTACTTGGGTTCATGTCAGTATGAATGGGAATATAAGACAGAAACTGTTTTATCAGTCCTGATGAAGAGAGGCAAACACATACAGCACCATATTTTTGTTAAAGATACCTCTTCATCTCTGAAATGGGAAGGTCAGGAAAGATGAGGATAAGAAACAGCTTTCAAAACCATTAGATAAGAAGACATGCTAAACCCAACTGCTTTACCCACAGCATGATTAAAATCAGACCTTATGATCTGACCAGGTTTGCTATTTTACTGAGAGAGCATCTCATAGTGCCAGGAAATATTTGGTGCACCAGTCAGTCTGCTAAAACACATAGTTTATCAACTGGAAATGTTTCCATACCTACTTGTAAGTAGGAATATTTGCAACAAATCTAACACACTTGTCCTGATAGCAAGCACTAGAGGTTGGCTCTTGCTGTGCCAATAGGAAAGACATTTAGAAAGAAGAAAGTCATAAATTGATTTACTATTTTTGCAGAAAAGATCTTTTAATTTAATGAAAAGTCCCATGTACTTAATAGAAGGTAAAAAAGATTACTCAAAATGCTACTGGAAAACAACAAACAACTCTACTTTGGTTGGTTTTTTTAATAGAGTGGAAGAAAACTATAACAGTCTTTGAAGTATGATGCCATGATACACTTCCTTGCAGGATAGTTAAACTCTTGGGAGTTTATCCAGATGCTGCAGCTGTCTCCATACCTTCTGCAAATTAGGAGCAAAGATGCATTTACATCACAGGCCGCTTTGACAAAAAGGTGAAGCTGGTTAAAGGAACTGCATTCTTACATAAGTATGGAAGAATCAACTCCCAGTTCTGTGTGAAATAGATCTCAAAATCAAGACACTACTAATATGAAGCATTCTATGAAATAAAGATTATGTTTACATAGCTGACTGGTCAAAAAGTATGCAAAGTACAAGTTCACAAATCCAAAGAATTACATCTAAGGAACATATGAAATGTAACTAAGAAATGCAAGTGTAAGATAATAAGGCTATATAAATCAAAATAAGTATATGGATGCTTATGTACATGTAAACACACCTTTGAAACTTCTACAAGGCTCTTACTCCAAAAAGTATCTCTCTGTAGGAAAGCAATTAAATGTTCACAAATAAAAAAAAAAACAAGAGAACTACAAAGAGTATCTAAAGTGTGGTTACAGTAAAAAAATAGATGAAAAGGTTTATTTTTTAAAAAAAGAAAAATTCCCTACAAATGTGGGAGAAAATATCACACAATTTTATAAAGAAGTTCCTGGTGCATTTTCTTTAAAGCAAGAATAGAAAAGGAGGTTATGTGAACTGAGGAAACTATTTGAATCTCAGATTAAAAACTAGTGAACGTGTCTCACTAAAGTCAGATATCCATACCTCCTCTTACACACGTTCATGAGGAAATTGTAGTCTCTTAGACAAGCTTTAGTCCTATCTAATTACCAGCTACTGGGAGTAACCACTATTCTCTTTTCAGTGCCTGGATATACGACATTCACTCTTTCATGTGAGTTAACGTCTTAACACTTAGATCCCACACTTTTCTGACTCCTTCATTCCCCTACCCAAGAGACAGAAAGAGAGATTATTGAATGAGTATTCACATAATTTACTCGACTGACAAAAGGATTCAGTGAGAGAAGAACAGACAAGAAGAAAAAACAGCACTAAGATTTCAAATCAAGGAATACTGTTCAAGAATGCTGCTAGTCTCATACTCTGTGAAAAGTAGACTAATTTCAAGTCCAAAAAGATTAAATTAATACAAAGGTAAAAATAAGGTAATTTTTTTACTTTTAGTGAACAGAAGTACTTGACCCACTGGATTTGTATGGCTTACAATACAATACACTGTTTTACAGATTCCCCAAGAGAACCTCAAATTAAGAGTAGCAATAGCATAGATGTGTTACCCAGACACAACATTTTTATTAATTAGTACTGATTCCCAGGTATACATTAAGTATTTGTCATATACACAAAAAAAAATTAAAATTATTCATTACAAATGTTAATTGGCAGATGACATTCATGCTCAAATGATCCACTGGTTACATCTAGTTTCATGACTGAGAAATGGGCTATGCATATATTTCCATCAAACCTTTTAACTGGGTAAACAATGAGTAGGCAAAATCACTGAATCATTCAAGTGACTTCTTGCGCAACATTCTTATGCTTAAAACATGGTCAGTTATCATATCAAATTTGGTTGCTCAGGGCTTTACCCAGTTGTTAACTTGAAAATCTTACAATGTTCAGCTCCTAAGTGATACCAAGCATTTGTCTGTTGCTGGGTGAAATAATCAGGTCTTCTTTCATTTTTCAGAATATTAAAATCAGTAGAGTATTGCAAATTCCCAGCATTACAGAGAAGAAACAGAACATTAACATCTTCAATCCTCCATCCACCTGCAGGAAAGTGGGTGGAACTGAGGGCTCTTCAACAAATCTGTAAAAGAGCACTTAACCTAAAAGGATGCAGATGAGGAAAATGAAACAGATAAGTAAGAATCATGGTTCTATAGGAAACTACTGCTTCAGTTAAGATACAGTTAAGCTATGTTGTTTAACCCTGCAAATGTATCTCATAATAAGAGGAAAAGGTAGGAAAGCATTTTTTAGATGAATGTTTTGTAAAATCAGAAAGGAAAGTAATAGGAAACCAGACACTTTTAAAAAAGAATTTGTGCAAATATGTCATGGCATCACTCAATTTGCAAGTTATAATAGTGTATTTCAGTCAAAGCATGATTCAAAAATGTCTTTTGCTTTGATGATAGATCACTGCCTTTTTGATCAAAAAAGTATAGTATGATTATAAAAACTTCAAAGAGGAAATGGAAAGAAATTTCATTAAGTATACATTGTGACTATTCCTTGACAATTTCTTATAAAGTAACAGAAATAGGGTATAGTCACATCTGGACACAAACCACTTCCTTCAGCTGCAGGAGCAGAGAGCAGAAATTTTGCTATCTTAGAAACAGTATGAAACACCTGTTTCACAAGACTTCAAAACAAATATTCTTAGAGAGTTTAACATAAATTGTGACTTTTAAGAATATTAACATCTATTAACACCAAGTTGTCATGTTGGCATGTCTTAAGAAAACATTTCAATGAACCTTGAAGATGCACAAGTACATTTCAGCTGGACACTGTATGATGTATGTATGACATAAACAGGACAGAACAAACACTTCTGCCACTGCTTTTAAAAAAATGTTGTCATCTTACATGATTGGCAAAATTCAAAGCACAAACATTTCAACTGGCCAAGGGGATAGAAATGCTTCTGTTGTCTACAAGTGAAAAAACAGAAGTGTAAGAAAATACATGTACAAAAAGAACACTGGGGCTGTTCAGTTTCATTGTTTTGCAGATAATGCAGGAGCATTCAGGAATAGAAATAAACCTAAGAGCTCCCTTTAAAAAATTACCACATTTTCAGAAAAAAAGCAACCCACTGGTGATTAAAAATATGAGGGGTGGGGGCATTTCTGTTTACTGAGCAGTATCTCATCCATTTTGTAATGCAAACCTTCAAGAGAATGTATTTAAGAAGACAAGGCTGTGCAGAAAATTTATTATACAGTACCACACAGCTTTCTGAGGACAGATACTGTATTCCTGATTGTTATGCACATGAAATAGCACAACAGTTTCTCACAGGGCTGTCTCCTGAACAATGTAATTATATAAACATTGTACCATCCCAGTGTCTTAACCTGTCATAACTACCTCCCTGTCATCCCCCTTATAAACAAAAGCTGAAAATGCCCAAAGCAACTGAGTACAAACACCTTTACAAAAAAAATCTAAATATATATAGAATGCAAATGACCAAGCACCCTGAAGCACAGGAGGGGAAAATGGGTGATGCATAACAGCACATCTGAGGATAACTTACTAGCAAAGAGTGACAAAACAAGCAAAATCACAGAAAAAAACTGTTTTGCTAGGCAGCACTGCTAAAATAAAGGTCATAAAGGTAACTACTGATATACCTGAAACAAAAATCACCACTGACACAGAAATGGTTGGTTTTTCACATTTCTAATGGGAAAAAAGTGCACTAGCATAACAATTTACGGCCTTCAGTGAATATAAGAGTTTGATGAAGTTGAAGGAAAAAAATAGTAAGTACTTAATCTAACCAGCCATTAAGAACCTTAAGAAAGTCACGAGTCTTTGAAAAATATAACATTTTCATATAATCCCCTTAAAATTAAAAAGAGAACTGCATCACATGATAGAAAACTTTCAAATTAAGATTCTAGACCTTGATCCTTAAGAGGTCAACAGAGGGGCAGGGAAGGCTGACTTCTTCAGAAGGTTCAATACCTTGTAATGAATGTTGTCTTCCATCACAAACTTCACTGGGACTTTTTCCAACAGCTATTTTGGTTCCCTCTGCACTAGTAGCCATTTTTCTATCAACTACTGATTGTTTATCATTTATCTTGGAAACCTACAATCAGAGAGTCAGACATATTAAGATTAAAAAGAAAAACAATGGCAATATGACATTATTTGACAGTAAGGGTTGAGTCATCTAGATGAATTTTGCAATTGCTTAGCCAACACGAAACGAGTTCAAACCTCAATGCTCCACAACTTATGCCTGCAGCAGTTTATATTTTAAAGATGAATTTAACTAGATATTGAAAAACACTGTCATTTGGATATACCAGTATCGAAAATGAGCTTTATTTTGTGTCCTTTACCGCTATTTTTACTTATATCTACAGATTTTTTATAATCAAACTCTTCTTTGTAATCAAAATCTTCCCTCAACCATACATTTCCTCCCTACTCTCTGTTGCACAACATTGCATCTCTAAGTCATTTTTCAGAGAATTCTGGTCCTATTCCTCACTCAATGACTGTCACTCTAACTAATCAGCCTGTCAGTTACCCTGTACTACTGTTCAGAGTACAGTTGGGAGAAATTTAATGTTTCTGCCCAACTTAAAACTATCAGACTCAAAAATTCACTCTGAAACACTGGTACTCTAGCACTTATTTCTGCCTGCCCCTTTACCTTGATAAACTGAAGGCATGTTCAATTCATAATTAATGCTGCAAAATCAAAAGCTTAGCTCTGTAGAGTCTAAAATAAATTATTTTATCACTGTATTTATGTACACCACTTATATCTTTAGAGAATCACAAAAATACTTACCTGAAATTTAATTCTGTTATGTGGCACTCTTAAAGTGCAATAGCTTGGAATTCCAATCCAGAATTGCCAAGTTTTGGGAAGCCTGCAACTACACAATTGGCCTTCTTTCATCTGGAGCAACAGTATTTGAGTGCTACAAAGCTTTCTGGAAGTCCACATTTTAGTAAAAGTGATCTTTGGATCCAGATGATGTGGTAATCAAATAGATACTCGAAGAAGCTCATTTACCGTGAAGTTACAAACAAAGTCATAAAAGCACTCGGCAGGAACTCTCTTTTAAGCATAACCTGTTTAAAAGACATTATGGAAAAGAAAGAAGTAGGTGAAAGGTTCACATCAAGGCCTCGATAAGCATAACCTGTTTAAAAGACATTATGGAAAAGAAAGAAGTAGGTGAAAGGTTCACATCAAGGCCTCGATATTGTAACAGGGCCTCCTCACACCCATCCAACCCCAAAGCACAGAGGCATTAACAGCTGATTTCCTTCACAGAAACAGTTTTGTTCAGTAGCTCCTCTCCCTCTCACCAGCCCCCATCTGGTACCTTGTTGCTCACCACCGACTATAAAGTCAAATGTTCATTTCACAGACAGGAAGAACTGAAATTGTTAATAGCAGAGCACCCCAAGCGAACAAACTCTCCCTTATCAACATGAACACACTGCTGTTCTACCTCAGCTGAAAACTGTGGATGCAGTGATCCAGCAACTTCAGAACTTGTTCACTAAACAAAGCGCCGATGTCAAGACCCCAGTAAGACACACTCCAGCATGCTGGCTGGTACAGGGCAAGCCTCATCATATTCTCTGTCACTAGGATAGCACAGGGGTTACTCACACACACAGTGCAAACCTGGTTTCCACCTTGACCATAAAGAAACATGTATGGAATTGTGCTTGTTCAGAAGAAAAGCAGGTTCCTGTCTGACCACCACTGCAAACAAACACCACCACTGCAAACAAACACCACCACTTCAAACAAACACCACCACTGCAAACAAACACCACCACTGTGACCCTGTGCCGGCGAGGTCTCAGTGAACAGCACCAACTTCCAACTTAATCCCAAACAGTAAGTGAGTGACTTAAAGGTGTTGTTTCACGTCGTGCGCCATGAGATCAGGCCTCTGGTGTATCTAGATTTTTCCTACCTCCATTTCTGTTCAGCAAAAAAACAAAACAAACAAGCGAAACAGCGAGACAAGTTTTTTTTAGAGCTAGCAAACACAGAACGTGAAGTGACAACCGCGGGGCGCACAGCGCCCAAGTGCAGCCACTGCGCCTTCTAACCTTGGGCACTTACAGCAAGCGGGCGATTCCTGTGCGGGACACGGCCGTCCCGAGGCCAGCCACCCCAACCCCGTCCCGACCCCCGCTGCCCGCCCGCGGACCGGGGGCTAATGCGGCGGCACGGTGCCCGGCTCGGCCCCAGCTCCCGGCAGCGGCGCCGCGGATCGCGCCCCGCACCGGGAGGTCACGGCGGGCCCTGCCCGGCCTCGCCCCCGCGCCTGCGCAGCGCGGGCCCGGCAGCGCGGGGAGGAGCGGCGGCGCCGGGGCCGCGCCGGGGCCGGGGAGACGGCGCGGCCGGGGAGACGGCACCGCCCCGCCTTCGGCACCGCCCCGCCTTCGGCACGGCCGGGGAGACGGCACCGCCCCGCCTTCGGCACCGCCCCGCC